TAGGAATTAAAATTAAACTTAATATGTTGATTTTATGCATGTGCAAGGCTAAAAAGGCTCACATAGATTGATAATATGAAGAAACTATGCCTGGGTTTTAAATAAAATTGGAAATCAGTCTCAAGTGATTCTTATTGTATCACTGCTTTAGCTGTTATTATTGCCCAGGAGATTTGTGAAAGGAATATCCTTCCTACGCCCTATGTGCTTGCTGCTATGGAATTAGAGTCAAAGAATGTGAGATTGTTTTAAAGGGTATCTTACGAAGTACTAGTCTAAAGCTAGAAGAAAGAGTATATGGATAGCACCATGTTTTTGAAATTGTGTCCTAATCCATAAGTGCAAATTTATAGTGTGCTAATAAGTTGTGGTGTCTGTCAGGGGACAGCATGGGCAGAAGGCAGTCCTGAAGTCAGGCTTCGCCGTGTTGCTGCACAGTGGCTGAGAGTCAGTGCTTTACAGCCATGCAGGCTCATCTACTGCTTCGGCACCTGCTTGGGGCTCCGTTCTTGGGGGCTGTGCACTGATTTCAGGGACCAGCATGAAGCCATACTTTTTTTTTTAAGGATTTATTTATTTTATGTGAAAGATGGAGAGAGAAGGAGGGAGGAGGGGAGGAGGTTTGGAGGGAGAGGGGAGAGAGAGAGAGAGAGAGAGAGAGAGAGGGAGAGAGAGAGGGAGAGAGAGAGAGAGAGACAGAGAAGCACTTTCATCCGCTGGTTTACTCCTCAGATGGCCTTGGTGGCCAGAGCTGTACCTGTCTGAAGCTGGGAGCCAGCAGCTTCTTCTGGATCTCCCAAGTGAGTATGCAAGAGTCTAAGGCTTTGGACCATCCTGTGCTATTTTCTCGCTAGCATGGAACTGAATTGTAGGTGGAACAGGTGGGACTAGAGCTGGATCCCTTATAGGATGCTGGCACTGCAGGCTGAGGAATAGTGTACTATGCCACTGTGGCAGCCCCAAGCCAGTTTTCTTGATTGTTGCCTATATGTGCAGTGTTAGGGAACTTACCACGTGGCTTACACAAAGCAGACCAATACATTTTTATTGTCATGCTTTCATGTATGTCTGAACTTTCTGTCACTTCTTTTGTTTCTTATTTTGTTTCATTCTCTGTATAAATGTAGAAACTTCTGGGCAAAGTAAGATAAATGATTTATCAACTAATGTGGCTTTATATTTAAATTAGATATAGAGAAAGCAAAGGAAATTAACACATAAAATTGTCTATGGATTACTCTTTAAGAGCTATGTATTTTGATAGACAATGTAAACATTTTTTATGAAGAATCTTTTAATTTAAAAATTTTAAAAGATTTTATTGGCAAGGCAGATTTACAAAGGGGAGAAGATACAGAAAGAAAGATCATCCATCTGCTGGTTTGCCACCCAATGGCTGCATCAGCCAGAGCTGAGCTGATCCAACGCCAGGAGCCAAGAGCTTCTTCTGGATCGCCCATGCAGGTGCAGGGTCCCAAGGATTTGGGCTGTCCTCTACTGCTTTCCCAGGCCACAAGCAGGGAATTGGAGAGGAAGTAGGGCAGCTGACATACGAGTCAGAACTCTTTATGACATCCTGGCATGTGCAAGGTGAGGATTTAGATGCTGAGCCATTGTGCCAGGTCCTTAATATAAACATATTTAATGGACGTGGTACAAAGCATTCTAACATGTGATAGTTTGCTTCCATATGTTTTAATGCCAATATATTGGGCATATTTTTAGGTTTGGTATTTTGGTAGTATTTTATCCTTTAGAAAATGTACATATGGACTTAAGTTACTAATTTTTTGAACATGTATTTTGCTGGTTTTGCTACTCTGTTCATTTCTCAAAGTTTACAGCTATTAGTAGCCATTAACTGTAAGCCATCAGATTTAATATATCTGCTTCGTTTAAAAGGTTTTTAGTTGAATAAAAAAAATCATGTTTTGCAAATAATGAACTCCTCACAATTTTCTTAATAGGATAAATGGTCTGGGAGGGAAGCAAAATTATTAGTAGTTTGCATATTTCAGAGTATCGCATAATGAAGATTCTTTTCAAGGTTTACTGAGTAAGATGTACTCTGTTAGTCTAAATAAGATCATTGATTTGTTAAAGCTCTAAGATGTAAGTAAAGTAAAATTTCATATTTTGCTAGCATCTGAGACGAGGGTAATTGCCAGTCTTTTTTGCTTACTCATAATTCAGTCAGTTGACATATAAATGAAATGGAAATAAATGGTTGTGGCGTATAATGTGCAGTAGAAAAAAAAAATCAGCAAAACCCTGGAGAAAAAAGGCACTTGCAGTTAGGTGGCAGTGTTTCCTTCTTGTCAAAGATTTGAAGAAGTGTAATTAAAATATAAAGAGGTTTCAGGGGACCCTGTTTAGATCTGGCTAGATTAAAATCACACAAGAAAAGTTTCAGAAACCAGTTTGAAGTGAGGATCTGCCTGAGACGTTACTGAAGCTTTCTTTCCAGGTTGCTGGATTTCTCTGAAAGACAGTCCCAGGCTCTGATGCCTTTAGGGTGTAGCGGGCCACAGGGGGCGACTTGGCCAGGGTTTAAGATGGGGGAAAAAGAGAGACATAATGAATGAGTTCCAATTTACTAGCTCACTCTCTAAATACCCATAGAACGAAAGCTAAAGCTGGGATCTTGGGATTAAATTTAAGTCCAAATTTCCTCCATGAGTTACAGGAGTCCAGTGACTTGTGCCATCACCATACCCTGGCTGGGATTTGCACCAGCACCAAGGTGGTGTTTGGAATCAAGTCTGGGAATCAAACCCCGGAATGCTGATATGAGTTGCAGGTGTCTTGTCTGTTTTAATATAAAAATTGTATTATTTTATTTATTTATGAGGAAGGAAGAAGGGAAGGAATTAGAAAAGAGGAGAGAAAAATATACATCAAGAAAGCTTCCATCTGCTGATTCATCCTCCAGATACCTGGGAAGACGAAGCTGGGAGGCAGGTACTCAGTTCAGATTCCCCATGTGACGCAGGGCTTGGATCATCACTTGGTCTCTGTCACCACTGCCTCCTGGTTGGGCATTAACAGGAAGGTCAGATTGGAAATGGGGCACAGATACGGGATGCTGGGCATCTTAAATGCCAGACTTACTGCCCATGCCTCACCTGGGTCTCCTGTGTTGTACTGTTCAATGCTTTTCTTCTCTGTTCTGGACCTCCTGCTCAAATGGGTCTTGTTGGTGCCAGGCTTGGCTCTGATCAGCCCTGTGGTTGGGCAGATTTCTTTCCTCTTAGAGTTCTGGTTTCTGTGTTCATGCTTCACTGGCGTATTTTTTGAAGTTTCTTATGTCTGAAAGTACATTTTTATATTAAAATATTCAAATAAGTATAGGATATTAAAAAATGCTAAACCTATCTTTGACTCTTGGGCTAGCCTTTGCTAGTTGAATGAAATGTAGGCAACTTAATGTGTCTCAGTTTCCTCAGCTGTAAAATGGCAATGACAATTTTTTTTTAAGATTTATTTATGCTTATTTCAAAATCAGATATACAAAGAGGAGGAGAGACAGAGAGGAAGTATTCCCTCTGATGATTCACTCCCCAAGTGACTGCAACTGCTGGAGCTGAGCCAATCAGAAGCCAGGAGATAGGGCTGGGTCTCCCACGCAGGTGCAGGGTCCCAAGGCTTTGGGCCGTCCTCAACTGCTTTGCCAGACCACAAGCAGAGAGCTGGATGGGAAGCGAGACTGCCGGGATTAGAACCAGCGCCCATATGTGATCCCAGCGTGTTCAAGGTGAGGACTTTGGCTGTTAGGCTATCTCACTGAGTTCAATGACAGTAGTTTTATGCGTTAAAAGTCTTTCTAAGCTCCAAACATGGTGTGATGAGGTATTGTGAAGTAACTGCTGGCAGCTGAGTATCAGTTATGATACTTTTATGTGTTTTACTTGCCCCAATGTGGGATGATGATGTCTTTGGTTATTTGCTGTGGGAGTTATGTGATTATTCCAAAAGTAAGTAAACCCCGGTGAGGCATGTCCTCCTTTTGAGAAAGGTCATTTTTGGTTGTTAGTATTTCTTTTGAACTAGCGCCTTTGAGGCTTTGGGTTGCCCATATGGCTGCACTATTTACTTCAAATTGTTTGGATGATCTTAAAAATAATAGTTTGATCTTAAAAATGGTACTCTTTGAATCTCTATTTGGCAGATGTTTTCTCGTGACTGAATGTTTAAATGACTAAAATTCAGGTACTGCATGTGAGCTAACTCCATTTTCTACACTAACACCAAGATTATTTTTATTTCTTAATCTTTTGATTCAGATGTTTTTAAACCTTGGAAGGAAAAGAATTGATTAACATATGTTGTGACTTCATCAGGTTTAGTCCGTGGTTGGATCCATGTCTTGGTCTTATTATAAGGGTTTGGGAGAAAAATAACTTTTTGGGGTTTTACTCTTTTCTGCTTTCTTCCTGAAGATCATATCCCTGGTGGTTAAACTGTGAATACAACCAACAGAAAACTGAGTACTGAGTGCAGAATACCATATGATGTGATAATGTGTTTAGCTGTTAGCTAAAGTGGCAGTCATGTACTGACTTCTACAGTGTGTGATCGTGATTTAACTCCTCCCCAAGTGAAAGCTGCACAGCTTTCCATGGGTCGCTACTATTAAGCACGTTTTTCATAAAAATTAATACATCAAACATATTGTGTGCAGGTCTATTTTTAATGCTGAGAACTGTATATGGGTTGTGTAGGCATTCCTGTCACAGCTTTTGTGTTAGGTATCACATTTTAATAATAAGACACTTTTTAAAAATAAAAGATGCATGGACTTTTTTTCTTAGTTGAGTGACGCTGTGCACGCTTCTTCTTTGATCCTTTTTACACGTTGCAGTGGGGCAGCTGTGCTGTTCCCCTTGCTGAGGGAATGCAGAGAGACACATCTCGTGAGGTCTTTGGGAAGAGGCTTCTGGTGAGTGTGGATGAGAGAGGGGCAGCAGACTCAGGTGCACAAGAAACGGAGCCTTTGAGTCATGGTCATTGTCAGTACCAAGGTGACCCTGAGAACAATGGCACTGACATCAGGGAAGGCCATCTGCATGGATGTCGGGGTATTGGCATCACTGAGTGTGGTAAGGCTGAGCTAGATTCTTTGGCGTACTGAGGGAGAATTTGTTTATTTTTCTGAGATTGCATTTACAAGCCATGTAAGCAAATGGTCTTTTCCTCTGCCTCTTACTGTCCCATGGATACTGGCTTAGGACAAAAATGCTGCATCATGAAGGGGGTAGGCCAGTTCATTTGTGGTGAGGTAGGATCTGTTCTTTAACAATTTCATTTTTTTAGTTGATATGCAAATTGATGTATTAGATAAATAAAGCAGGCTTATTCTAAATTAAATAATTCTAGATGTTCGGGAATACTATGGAGGCATTCGGGAAACAAGAAAGTAAGACAGGGGATTTTTATTTTGTGTGTGTAACTTACATCTGAGTGAGGGGAGACCTCCTGTCAGTGTGAAAAATAGGTAAATTATGTCATGTTTTGAAAGTAGAACATGTTTAAAATGTTAAGAAAAAGTAATAGAAAAATTGGCATGTGGTAGGAAGTATTGGATTTCCTGGGTTCAGAGCAGGGTAGCTTGTTATATTGAAAGCGTAGTCAGGTGTAGGTACCAGGAGAAGGGCAAAAGAGTAAAATGGACAGTTCTGGAAGTGCTTCCGAGTCAGGAATGACTACAACAGTGGCCTAAGGCTGGAGCATGAGGCTTGCTGGAGGGCCCCAGGTAGGGACCTTTTTGGCCAGGGGGTAGAATATAAGGAGGCTGGAAAAGAGATTAGGGGTAAAGAAGGATGGATGATGTGTTCGGTAGCCACTGGAAAGACTAGGGCACTACAGAGGGGAAGCTCTGGTTGCGGTGGGTGGGCAGAGGGTCACAGGACACATTTCAGGCTGAAGAACGCCTGTCAGCTTGGTTGTTATTATATCTGAGTGGGAGGTAGTGGGACTGACTAGGCTGGTATCCGTGTCCTTTGTGAGAGTGGCTGTATTGTCCATCTGTTTTATACGCAGAGCCAATTGGACTTCCTGAGTGGTTGGATGTGGGTGAGAAAGGAGTTTACCATGGTTTAAGACTTAAGTACTTGACATTGTTGTCTGAAACCAAAATGGGCTTGGGAGGGCAGGTATCATGAGAGTAGCATGAGCTAGCATGGGTGCGGCTCAGAGTTTACACACAGAAGGTACTCAGTGAAGTAAAAATCATTATGGAGCATTTTAAGTCTGCTCCCCGTGTATTTTGTTGGTCCTCCCTGTCAGTATTCCAGCCTGAACACAGCAGGAGACAGGTGAGTGTTTTGCAGAGCTGTGCCCTCTTGATCTCTCCGTGTTGGTTGGTCTCCCCTCCTTGCTCCTCTCCTTCCTCTTAACCTCCAGCACCACAGCAGTATCTGCTTCTCACCAGTGATGCTCCGGAGACAGCCTGGCAAGCCCAGCTCATGCTTTGTCATGCTAACAGTGCATGGTGTGAGGATACGCTACGATCTATTCTGGAATCTCCAGATTGTTAAGCATCAGCTTTCCTCTCTGTTGGTGTGTCTTCAGTGGTGCTAACACCTCCACGCATGCATTGTGTTCAGGTGCTGAGTGTTGACATTTTTAACTCTTGCTCCTTTCATGAAATGCCAGAATTACCATTCTTCCATACATGTGGCTTACATACTAGTGCTTTCGTTTTTATGACAGGTTCCCAGGATTGGTTTTTACAATGATGAGAATATGTGCATTTTATATTCACAGATCTTTTCGGATTGCTTCCTGAAATTTGATGTCAAGGGGCAGTGTTTGACCTTGGAGTTAAGATGCTTGTATCCCTGAGCCTAATGAAGATGCTGGAATGCAGCACTGATGACTCAATAACTGAGTTTCTACTACCATGTGGGGAAATCAGATTGGGTTCCCAGATCTTGGTTTCAGGCTGGCCCTGCTCCAACCTCAGCCACTGAGAGGCATTTGGGAAGTGAGTCAGAGGAATGGACCCTAATGCTCGTGGGTTCTCTCTCTCTGTGCATGTCTCTTTCACATGTACATGCATGTGTGTGCACACACATTTTCCGTTTTTCTGTTTTGCTTTTGAACTCACTTTACTTTCTCCTCCCCCTACTCACTCTCAAATTAAGTAAGAAATCATATCTCATTTCCACTGGCAATATAAGAAACCGTATGTGAGGTGTGTTGTGCCAGAGATTTAAGCCTAAGCTTGTAATACTGGAATCCCATATTGGAACTCTGGTTTCTGGCCTGGCTATTCTTCTTCAAATCCAGGTTTATGCTGACGCTCTTGGGAAAGCAGCAGAAGATGACCCAGGTATGTGGACCCATGTCACTCCCGTGGAGACCCAGATAGTGGAGTGTGTGGCTCCTGGCTTAGACCAGCCTGTTGTAGCCAACTGGGGAGTGACCTGGAGGATGGGAGAGCTCTATCTCTTTCTCTGTTTTGCTCTGACTTTCAAATTAATTAATCAGTAATTCTTGGAGGGTATATGTTTCTCACATCCCTAGACAACTTTTGAAATAATTACATTATTATGGAACCAAAAAGGTATCTAGTCATTATGTTAATGTCCGTTTTGTGGAGTGTAGAGAATCTGAGCATCTTTTCTTCTGTTTGTGGGTCCAGTGTCTCCATAACCCTAGCTACTGTGTGAGGATCTTTATGTCTTGCTTTTGTCAGTTTTTATCTGCTGACTGCTGACAGTTGCATAGCAAAGATGACAATAATCTTTATTTATATTACTTTCTGCTTTTCAGAGTAAGTAGTTGTCTGTTTTATCTTCTTTGAGATTAGGATATTTGCAGCTGTGCTTTTGCCTTCATCTTTCCCCACTCATACATATATCCTGCTCTTCCTCGATTACATTGAAACTCTGATAGATGGTGACATACAGATTTTATTTTCTAACTGCAGCCAGATTGAAAGCCAGTAAAATATTAACAGCACCAAGTACCAAAGCTGAAGGGCCCAAAGATACCATTTAAACCAGAATTCAAACTTTTTTATCCAAGTGTCCCAAACACTGGCTCAAATATTATGAACATACACTTTTCTGTGGATATTCAGGTAGTGTTGTGTTTTGTGCTCCAGAATATATCAGTTTATTGTTTTCATATATAATAAATAAATATAGATTATCCCTTAATCTATCAATTTAGTTAGTTTTTGGAAAGATTTCTAGCATTATATTGTGACTTGTGGATGTTCTAGTTTGAGACCAAAAATACAATAATTTTCTTCAGTTTATAGATATGACAGTGACAGTACACTCAGGTGCTGTCTTTAGCTCTTGTATTTCTCCGACCCTTGATGGCTCCCAAGACTCTAACTTGGTAGATAACTTGGTAGATAACCAGGCCCAGTTAGTTTCCACCTGTATTTTTTCTTGAGTATCTACCCAAATCCTTGGCATCATTTTTCTTTCTCCATAATTTTGTCCTAAGTCCTGGCCACTCCACTTTCTAAGTGTAACCAGACTGCGGCCCCCTTTAGTCATGGCCTCATCCCTAGCCTCCAATATCTCTCACCTGCCACTGGCTGCAGTCTCTAAAGTGGCTTCTATGACTCTGCCTTTGCCCTCCGTGTTGTCTACAGAGGCTTCTTCTCTGAAAAGAACCCTCAATTTCATTCATACTTCACACAATTCCTTCCCATGGGGTACAGACTGAATTTCCCATGACCTGGCTGCTTTCTACCTTCCTGATCTCATCTGCTGTCTTACCTCCCTGGCAGACTATTGTGCCATGTTGACTTCTTGGTCATCCTGTGAGGGCAGTAGGGATCCATTTTCAAGATTTGCACTTCATTTTGCTGGGAACCCTCTTCACACAGTTGTACATCAATTTTAAGCTTCCTAGTTGCTTCCTAATCACATCTATTTTATGGGAGACACCTCCTTGACTTTGTCACTTGCCACTTCCTGGCATGCTTACTATATATTTATTTGTTATTATATAATTCTCTGATTGGAATTTGGGCTTTGTGGGGGCAGCACAGTGGTAGTAGGCTAACCTTCCACCAATAGCATCAGCATTCCATATGGTCAGTGGTTTGTGTCCTGGCTGCTCCACTTCCAATCCAGCTCTCTCTAATGGCCTGCGAAGGCAGCAGAGGATGTCTTAAAGCCTTCAGCTCCTGCAGTCATATGAGAGACTCACAAGAAGCTCCTGGTTTCTGGTTGTGGATAGGCCTAGCTCCAGCTTGTGCGGTCATTTGGGGAGTGAATCAGTGCATCGAAAATTCTCTCTGTCTCTGCTTCTTTTTGTAACTCTGGTCTTCAAAATAAAAATAAAATAAATCTTCAAAAAATGTGAGTTTTGTGAAGATATAAAATTTGCTTTGCTTAATGTTTTATCTGTATGCCTAGAATAACGCCTAGCATGTAAGTGCTCCTTAAGTTGTTGAATGAATAATTTTTGTTCTGTTTCTCCTACCCTTCAACATTCGGCAATCATTAAACAACGTTGTTTCCAGCTGGCCACTGAGCTCTTGAACATTTGCGACATGCCCCCTTGCCATAGCATTGGGCTTTATTCTTTGTCATGCTTTCACCCATGATAAACACGTTTCCTCAAATGGTTTTTACCTGAACTCCTTTCTTCAAGTTCGACTCCAGTGCAATTTCTTCAATGAACCCTTCAATCCACAAGTTGTAGCTAAGTGGCTTCTCTGTGTGCCCGATGTGGTATCTTCAATTCTGTTTATGACAGTCTTGCTTGTGTCACAGTTATTTATATACGTGGCTTCCCTCTCTTTCTGGATTCAAAGAGCCTGCAGGAAATCCTTGTATTCCCTCAGTGTTTGTTGTGATATTTTCACATGCCAGGTACTCATGACATGGTCATGGAAATGAAATATATGTGATATTTAGGTATTTACCCACAACATTTACTGGGAGGTTTTGGGGGTTCCAGAAAGATAACATTAATAGTTGAAGGGCTGGTAGAGGGTCCATACAGGAGTTGACTTTCTCTGGCCTTTTAGAGAGAGCTTGAGGAGTAGGATGGGGTTTTTCTTTCATTATTTTTTCTAAGATTAATTTATTTTTATTGGAAAAGAAGATTTACGGAAAGGAGAGAC